TAACTTGGAAACTTTTGGATGATACTGTTATTATAAAAAAAATCCTAGTGTGTCTATAAATTGTCTGACTTTTTTGGTACATTCTATGTACTATGGAGACATAAATATATCTAGTACATTGTATTTTAGTGTTTAAAATACCTTTAAAAATCAGTATCAACTATTATAAGTTGGACAATAAACATCTCCAACTATTAAATGGCTATTCTATAAATTAACATCTTGAGAGAAATTTTGTGTATGTAATAATTAATGAAGTTTGGTATTATTCTAATGAGAAACAATACAAGACTGTGTCTGGGTACTAATTCCAACTCTAATTTATTAGCAAGTTACTTTATTTCTCTCTGCTTCAGTCCCTTTATCTAAAAAATAAGCAACTCATAGAGTTAATATAAAAATTAAATGAATAAATACAAGTAAAGTTCATAGATCCATCCCCGGCACATAATAAACATTCAAAATTTATTATCAATGTTTATAATTATATTTATTTTAACAAGTAAATATTATAAATATGGTGTAAAAATGATATTTTTGAAATAAATGTACATTGCAAGATGATTAACTTAATTAACCTATGCAGTAATTTACACACTCTTTTGTGGTGGTAAATCACTTAACATTTACTCTCTTAGCAATCTTCAAGTACACAACACATTAACAATAGTCACCATTTTGTACCTATCTAAAAGTTATTCCTCCTATTTAACTGAAATTTTGTATAACATCTCATTTTCCACCTCCCACCCTCACCCCATGGAAACTATCACTTTCATCTCTGTTTCTACGAGATCAACTGTTTAGAATCCACACTGAGGTGATAATATGACTTGCTTCACTTGACATAATACCTTCCAATGATTAACTATTATTAAGATACAAAACTGTATCAACTAGATGTAAAATTATATTCAAATAAGCATAAATGCAAAAATGAAAATATTGTCATACAAAAAAAAGGTTAAAACCAGCAAGTCATCTAAAATGTTTACCTCATCAGATGCCTACTAGACTATATTCAACTGAATGGTTATAGAGAGAAAAAGTACAAATACTAGGAAATGTTCATTGTATTATCATATAAATCTCTTAATAATATTAAGTAAAAATTTTGTAAGTTATTGTTTTTCCTGATTCATTTAATTTTTATGCTTATCTCTATATCAATGTAGTCTCTGAAATAAAATGAAGTATTTTTACCGGATAAAACCAAAACGCAGCAAGATATTCATGTAATTCACAATTTTTTGACCATTTAAAGCCTTTTCTTCCCCACCACCACAGTTGCAAAAGTCAGCAATATCTTTTTTTATTCTCATTCCTAAAACTTCTTCTTTCTTTCATAATTGATTAATCAAATTTTTGGTATCTGTACCATTATTTGTAGGATTATTGTTCATTTATTTTAGCTTTTATCCAAAAGCTAATTGAAAGTAATGACTATATTAGAAAAATAAAATTTTATATGCACTTACACATACATGTATATGTATAATCAAGATTGCCGTCTTAGAACTCATATAGCAGTTCAGTATTAGCAAGGTACAAATGTATATTACATATATATTTTGGCAAAATGTAAACTATTTACTTTATTATTTCTTTTATTAAATTATACTTTAATTTCAATCATTTTACATTAACAGAAATATACCTAAAACAATAAAATTAATATTTTCAACTTTTATATCTAACATAATATAATTTACAATTTTCACTACTCATGACTTTTTCAAAATCAAGCCTGCTTTAAATATTTTTAATCTTAAACAATTTACTTTGTGTTTTTTTCCCATAGGGGCATAGCATAAAGAGGTATATTTTAAGAACTATTAATTTATTTTAAGATAAAATTTTAGTATGAGTTATAATTTATGATAATATAGTTTATACACCTACTGGATATATAAAACCTGTTATCATTACATATTTATAATACATCTAAAGACTGAGAAAATAACAAGACACTTTTTAACTCTTATAAGTAAAAGGATAATTTGATTAGAAGATGAATAAGTAGGTTCAGGAAGAACCAGCGAACTACTATCAGGATAGTAGAATAAAAAATGTTTAAAAATTCATCATTAAATGAAAGAATTACATGAACCTGAAGATTTATCACTTACCTACAAACTCTGAGTCCCACAATAAATGTTCATATGAAAGAAAAAATGGAGGAAAAAGAAAGTAATTTTGGAGTAGGTGTTGAGCATGAACAATTTTTCTAAGAAAATAAGACTGGGATCTCTTAATAGGTATAAGATTGAAAAACTACTGTTATTCACTGTTCTTCACTGTAATTGGGATTACTTTTATAGTCAAGTTAGTTCCCAAATACCTCTCAGACCTTTCAGAGTAAAGACAAGATGATCTGCCTGTAGTTTCAGACTTTATTCATCTCAAGGCCTGAGGCCACACCTCCTACTATAGGTATACCATCTCAGCAACCTGTGAGAGCATTTGCAGGAGAAAGGTATTTTAAGAAATACAAGAAGTCAAAAAGACTAGATTGTTTTTAGAGTAAGAAAGCTCATTCTTGGCTGAGCCAATTCTGTCAAACCTCTAAGGCAATTAATGTGTGGTTTAATATTGTACTTCATTTATTCTTAAAGAAACCTAATCTAAATTCATTACTGATATGCTTACATAATTAAGTTAAGCTTCATTATGTCAACTTGATTGGCTTGGGAAACCCTAGGAGATTAAACACTCTTCTGGGCATGTCTGAGTTGGTATGGAGGTATGTCCTTCAGGTCTATATCAGGCCCTTGGTCTCTGTCTTTGTTTCCTTGCTCTGCTTCTCTGCTGCCATGAACTAAGTTCCTTTGGACCACCATGCCTTGCCACCATGATCTCTCTGATTTGGAGTAAGTCCACCATGTACTGAATTCCCTGAAACCATAAGCCAAATTAAATCTCTCCTATAATTTATGAGTTTTGGGTATTGTGTCCCAGAGATGGAAAAAACTGACTGATACAATATTTAATAGAAATACTTTTCTTGTAAACTGATTCTGATTTTTAATTGGTTTAACTGTTTAAAACAAAACAGAAGGAAGGAGAAAATCAGGACGAGAAAGGTAAGAAAAATATAAATATACCACAAGGTACTTTGAACCTTCAGTTTTGCCTTATCTTTTTGTAGAAAAGACATAGTCCTTAGGACATTAATCCTCAGAAGCAGGATAAAAGTGTCAGGAAAAGTCACAGTGTGAATCATCTCAGAATCGGGAAAAGCATTCTGTTTAAATACAAAACCAAATTATAAAGAATTTATGCTACATTTAATCTTAAATGATTGAACAAGAAAACATCAAAGGGTAATTTTCACCTACAGCATTTGAAATATTAGTTTGGTAAATCTTTAGAGGGCAAACTTTGAAACAGAAACCTGAAGCAATCCTACTAGTGCTACTATTAAAAAGTTGATATTACATCAGAATAATTTCTTTGCATAAGCTAATTTTTAACGTATGTTGTTTATCAAACATAAAGAAAAATCAACTCTTTCAGTCATTAACTGTGAGAACATTGTCGAGAATGCTAATTTCTCATTAATACTTTTATACTACAATGAGAAGAAACATTTAGAATTGGTATATTGCTTTAGGGCTGAATATGTTATCCAATTCATAGTTATTCAAAAGAATTCCCATACTCTACAGTCTTGAAATTTTATAACGTAAGGACTAATTCTTGCTTTACAAAGGATGTATTTTCTTCACAGATTACATTTTTCCATTAAACAAGAGTAAAACTATCATAATCTATTGTTTTCTTGTTATTTTATGACTTATTACATTACCAGATATATTCAGAATTTTTCCCTGGTGTAGAATTTTTAAAGTTTTGTATAATGATTGGTTTTGTTTCAAAATTATTTTTGAAATCTAGCTCTTTAAGGTCTCAATATCAAATTCTGTAGATCTCCATGATGCTATTGCCATAGTCCAAATAAAAAACAACATAAAAGTTTGAGAGCTGGCACTTTGGTTAAATATTTCGTTGGCAATTATGAAGTTCTAACTAAACAATTTTTCTTTTTTAAGCCAAGACTTCATCATAATTAAAGATGTTATAGAAATCTGATTCAGTGAGCTTAGAAGCAATTTAGGAAAGCAAATAAAAAAACCATAAATGAGCAATTTGCATGTTTTACTCCTCTATTTCATTGCCATAGTGATGAGAAAATGGACAGTTTATGGATTATGGTGGTCTCATCATTTCTAGTAAATCAAATAACTAACCAAAGTCTCCAGAAAGTTTCATGGTTTGTGAAGTTTTAAATTACAAATTTTCACATCATCCATCTTCCACTTTATAGCAGCTGGAGCAAAAATCTAGTTCTAAACAATTAGCTCAGAAAGTTCTGGCTCCTTTTTGCTAGATTCCATCAGTATCATTTCTGAACGTGAATCCTAAGTCTGAACCAATTCTTTGGCCAATTCTCTAAACAGTTCTAAACATTTGCTTTTTCTTCTTGGACTAATTATTCAATGAAAGATATTTTGATAGCATTTTCATTGCAATGTTTCATAGCTTTTGGTATCTGTTGATGTATTGAGGGTTAAATTTTATAGTGAATGTTAGGGGAGAATGAAATGTCAGATAAATAATCAACTGCTATTATACTTCTCAAAGCACATGAACTAAAGGTCATGCCTCAGTCTGCTGCTAACTCATATGGTCTGAGAGGGTCAGTATAAAATAGTTATGTAAACTCTTCAGTTCCAGTGTTTCTGAACTTGCATATGGAAGTTTACCAGATATTTACCACCAGAGTCAAACTGCTTAAAGCAAAAGCATTTAAATGATAATACTGGCCAGCTAAAGATAATCCCAGACTCTTCCTAATTCCTCACAATCCACGTTCAATTTGTCAATATATCCTGTGATTTCACCCTCAAAAAATATATCATTAATATGTCTACCATTCATCTAATCTCTCGCCAACTTTGTCAATCCCCTTCCCAGGGTTGTTAAAACAGCCTACTTACTATTGTCCTCCTGTGTCTTCCTGTGGTCTTTCTCCAATACCCTGTCACACAGCAAGAAATTAAACATGAATGATATCAGGTTAAATTCCTTTCTAAAATCTTTTAATACCTCCCCATTGCACTTCAAATCAAATCTCTTAATGTTGGCTTACAAGTCCTTGCAAAGTATGACCCTTGGTTGCATCCCCAATTGTATTGTCTTAATTATTAGTAGTATCATTTTATATCCTAGAATTTACCAGTTGTTCACCTAACACTGAGGCATAGAACATGTATTTCCTTCTTTCCAAAATGTTGGTCTGGAGATTGTGACTGTCTAGCTCTATCACATTCTTCAAGTCTAAATGTAAATGTATTTTCTTTTCCCTAAATACCATGTCAATATGATTTCTTCTCTATCATGGTTCTCTGTGCAGTAGAATTCTAGAGTTAAAGGCACAGACTCTACCCAAGCTTCCAAACCAACTTGGTCTCTTTCTACTCTATGATTCTGGAAATCGCATTTGACTTATTTATTTCTCTGCCTCCTCGTTTTTAAAAGACAAATAACAATAGTACCTACCTCATAGCCTGAGAAGATTAAAGTGATTAAAATGAGTAAACACAAAGAACAGATTCTGACACTGTTGTGTCAGCAATCAGTAAATGTTAATTTTCTTCATAGTACTTCATAATTTATTATTACATACCAATTTGCTGAATTTTGTACTCTGTGTTGCCTAGATAAATAAGAACTCCATTAAGCAAGTTTTATTATATGTTTTATATCTCATTGCAAATTTAGTGATAAACACAATATCTAACACACAGTAGATACTCAGTAATCATAGAATCAAGAAATTATCTTTGAATAGGTTTATAACCTCTTACTTAAAAATACATCTAACTGGTTTACTTTTTCCTTTGACTATGGAAAAAAGACATGATTTATTTCTTTGACCCTACATCTTAATCATTCAGCAATCCTTAAAGTAGATTATATCTATTATATAACTACATTTACTTTTAATCCTGAAAAATCATTCTTAACAGACATAAAACATCTTAACTATGAGTCACCAAATCCGTTTAGACATCCTTTTGTTTTAGTCTCTACTTTTGTCTTTAAAGATTTATATTTTTTTAAATTTTATTTTCTTACTACATGTTTCAGCAATATATGCATTTTACAACAATCTTGGGTACATGTACATAATACATCTTGTTTATTTTCTTAATCCCTTTCCCTTCTTCCTCCCTCCCTGCTCCTCTATTCTCCTTTTCCTCCTTTTCATTCTTGTTGATATTATTGACCTTAGTTCATGTTTGTATCGTAAAATGTCCACATTGATTGAGGTTATTAGAACCTAGTATATAGTATATCTTCCCTCTACCTGAAGCAGAAAAATTTTATCTTTTAATATGAGGCTTCTGTCATTTTACATGTCATCAGAGGCTTTCACTTTAGGGTTCAGACCACATCTGATATTTTAGATGGGCCAATATTATTGTTTGCTTGAAAAATTCATCAAGCAGAAGTTTTATGTTACTGTTGTTGTTGTTGTTGTTGTTGTTGTTGAAATTGCAACACTTTCTCTTGATCTCAGTGTACTTGAGCTCTGCAAAACAATATATTAGGCTTTAGATCACAGGGCTTTTTTACTCTTTGTTTTCCTTTATATTTACTTTGAAGTTTGTCTTACACCATTTCCTATCCCAAGATAGGTGTCAGGGTTTCCAACCTTCAAAAAGACTGATCCCTTAGTTTTATTTCTACTGGATGACACTTCTCCCTTTGGGATGCCTGGAAATATTGGCTACACTTACCCTTTGTCATGCTCTGAAATACCTACAGGAAGCCCCTTTGTGACTCTCCATATCTGCTCAGAATACTACAGCATATCAGACTATTTTAATCATTACTTTCCTCATTTGATGCAGTAGTATAGTGATATGAGTTGGATGTCATTTTTTAAAAAGTGACCCTGAAAATAATTTCTTCCCCTTCTCTGTATTACCTCTCATCCGCTTAACAAATAACAAATGTAACCTGTGAATATAAAACTTATCTTTGAGTTAAATAAAGTCAATTGAGGAATTTGTAAGTTTAGTTTTAGCACTTTGGTTATATTATTCACTTGGGCACAATTAGAAAACCACATAAGCAGCGAGTTCACAGCAAAGGAAACAAAGCACACACAACAAATATACATAGGGGGGAAATGTGCTCACATACAGTCATTGTTACAGAAATCTCTAATGAAACAATAGTGACATTTAGTTTTTTATTTCTTTAATTAGAAAAAATTACTCAGTGAAGAGATCTAAACTGGATCTAAGTGTGCACTATTGAACAGGAGTATAAATTGAGGTATCCATTATAGAAGACACTCTGGAAATACACAGGAAATTTAAAGTGATGTATTTTATCCTAATATTTGTACTTCTAATAATTTAACTATCAAATGAAGCATACATATTTACAAAGATATATCCATAATGAAATAATATGAAGTTTTGCTTTGTTTCTCCTGCCCAACATCACTTTACGCATCTCCCATGCTTAGCTCATGTTCAGTGTGGATAAAATTCCGTGCTCCAAGAATGTCATCTGACTTGCTAGAATCTGAATATTTGTGCCCCACCAGACAAATCCATATTTTGAAAAACTAACCCCTGAGGTGATAGTGTTAGGAGATGGGACATTTGGGAGTGGTATTATGTTAAAGGGTAACGGCTTCATGAATACGATTAGCCTTCTCTTTAAAAAGACCCCAGAGTGGTCCCTTGTCACTGTTGGGAGGACATAGCTACAAGACATCATTATGACATGGAAAGTAGCCCTCAGTAGGCTCCAAATATGCCAGCACTTTGTTTTGAACTCCCCAGCATCCAGAACTGTGAGAAGTTCTGCTATTTATAAACTACTTGCTTTATAATATTTATCATAGCTACCAGAATAGCCTGTTATGACTCAGACTTGAAAATTAAAATATTCCCTCCAATACCTCCAGGAAATGGTTAAGAAACAGGAATATGTATCATTGTGAATGAAGCACAGTTTTTCCTGTAACTTTTGCTTGAGAAAACAAGAAAGGAGCCCCTTTTCCATTGGTTCCCTGGGACAAGATGTATGTCTGGAGCTTCGGGCAGGCATTCTGCCATCTTGAATTGAGATCAAGAGAAATCTCCAGCCTAATGCTAGAATAAGCTCAGAAGGGAGCAAACTGAAAGATGGAGAGAAACCAATTACAGATGATATTAACTGAGGCCATTGAGCCAATTCCAATCACAATTAGTTGGAACTTGACTTGTTTTTTTAGCTCTAATGGCAAACAAAATTGCTTTACTATGTAAGCTGGTTTTAATTAGATTTTATGACATTTTAAAGCCCATAGAACCTTGACTAATACAAACATGGTATTTTGGTATACAAATGGAAGAAGTTATCTTGGCAGAGAATTTTGACAATTAAGACATGTATACAAAAGGAGAACTAAACAGCCAATAAAGACACCCGACATAGAGCTATATAGTCTTATGGATAGATATACAAGACATAAGAAAGTTTTAAAACCAGAAGTATATGATAGTGTCATTTAAAATATAAAAAATCTATAATGTGTCTATATGTGTACATAATGATTATTGGTTACTCTCATGATTTCTTAAAGGCAAATTTTTATTTTTTAACTTTATACTCAGCTGTGCTATTTGAGTATTTTACCACAAACATATATTTTCAGTAATAATAAAAGTCTACATAAAAAATAAAGCAGACACAGCAAACCATGGAAGTATTTTTTGGAGCCTCATTCAAAGTGAAATCCATTTCCTTTGGAAGAGAAAGATCTAAAACTGTTCACTTGTCTTTCTCTGCTTATGAATCAATAGAGTATCATCATATAATTTGTAATTCTTTATGATGCAAATTGAAATAGAAATGAAGGAAAATATATCAATGCATTTGGGCAAATATTTGCTTTTCTTACTGTAATCTGTGTAGTTTTGTGGTTTAGTGAACAAACTGTATAGTGGCCACCATGATCCACATCCTGATCTTCATTCCCATGTAAAATTGCCTTTTCTAGAGTGAGGGTGGAAATACGCTTAATTCTAGTCAATGCAATATGGCAGATGTAATGGGATGTCACTGTCATAGTATGTTATCTGAGAAAGGAGATAAAATATCACTTTAGTGATTTCATCATATAATACTCATCTCTAATGTAGTTTACTCAATCTAGGGGTTTAGTCACTTCCCCACTTTCTACCTGCTTCCTCACCCCAGGAGTTTGAAACTGGAAGCTTCCATGAATCCAACAGTTACACAGAAATAAGTTTGACCAACAATTTGAAGGAGCTTAGAAGTGAGTCTCTTCAAAATAGGGATCCCAGATAAGAATAAGCTAAGCCACACTTGTATTCCTGACACTCAGAATGTGTGGAAAAAGTGAAGAGACAGAGGGAACAGGAGAGAGAAGGCAAAGGGGACACAGAAAGAGTTACGTTATGTTGTCTACATGTACCAACTCCCCATGATGAATGTAACCATTATGTACTGCAAATATGCACTAAGAAAAATTTAAAAAATTTTAAAGGAGTATTTTTAAGCCACTAAGTTTGCAGTAATTTGTTACATAGCATATAAAGCATTATAAGTGAAATAGAATTAAATTCTAAAGTTTACATAAAACTTTTTTTCTTTATATATTAAGTTTAAAAATATTGATTATATTCACCTTTGAAATTATATTGATATAAGTAATTGAAATATAATTTAAAGTTGTAATGTAGAAACTAAAGGGGAAGGAAAAGCATATTTCCCTTTCTAAATGATAAAACCTTTCCTTGCTATGCTAGCTCCTGGCAAAAAATGAAATTCAGCACTATTTTTTAATAACTTAAAACAGAAAATCTCGGTACTTTCTACCAAAACATTTTTAAAACATGGAGAAACCTGGAAACATGAAACAACTGTGTATCACACCGAAAGGATATTCAAGTAGTTTGATTTGCTAAAAGTCATTTAGTATTATTTTAGCTCTTGGCTTATACATAA